GGAGAGAAGAAAGCCCATGACAATCAAATTAGCATTTTCCTGTGAGAAAGGAAAACCCATTGGATGAGAATACAAAGACCTCTGAAATAACTACTCAATTTAATTAAAATGATGAATCTGAAGATTTAGTGCAGCAAGCAAAGGAGACATAATAACCTCTCTTGATAAGGAAATGGTTATTCTAGCTAAGAAGGATCTCTTTTGAAAAGATTGTCTAGCCAGCAGACTAATGAACTATTTAAAGATATATTGTGAAGCTTCAATTTTGTATAACAACCTCTTTTGCCAGAGAGGCAGTTTCCTGTGCTAATGATCTCCAAAGGTCCATAAGCGAGATGAAAAACAAATCAGTGCTGAAAAAAATATCCATAACAGCTGCTTTTGTTGCTGATGCATCCCTTGATATCATATTCTCAGCTCAAATGGTTGCTCTGAACCCAGCATCTCAGATAGTTATGGCTCTGCACCTGGAAAGAAAATAGATAAGCCGAGCAAGCTCTTTGGCAGGGAATTACGTAAGATTGTTGTAGGGTCCAATGAAAGACAAAACACATTTACGATCTTAGAAAGTAGGTCAAAATAATTTCAGACCTTCTACAGAGTTCCATTTTAGGGTTAACAATCACTAGGAACACAATCATAGAATCATAGGACTGGAAGGGAACTCAAGAGGTCATCGAGTCCAGCCCCCCGCCCTCAAGGCAGGACCAAGCTCCACCTACACCATCCCTGACAGATGTCTATCTAACCTGTTCTTAAATATCTCCAGAGAGGGAGATTCCACCACCTCCCTTTGCAATTAATTCCAATATTTGACCACCCTGACAGGTAGGAATTTTTTCCTAATGTCCAATCTAAACCTCCCCTGCTGCACTTTAAGCCCATTACTCCTTGTCCTGTCCTCAGAAACCAAGAGGAACAAATTTTCTCCTTCCTCCTTGTGACACCCTTTTAGATATTTGAAAACCGCTATCATGGCCCCCCTTAATCTTCTTTTTTCCAAACTAAACAAGCCCAGTTCATGAAGCCTGGCTTCATAGGTCATGTTCTCTAGACCTTTAATCATTCTTGTCGCTCTTCTCTGTACCCTTTCCAATTTCTCCACATCTTTCTTGAAATGTGGCGCCCAGAACTGGACACAGTACTCCAGCCGAGGCCTAACTAGTGCAGAGTAGAGCGGCAGAATGACTTCACGAGTTTTGCTTACAACACACCTGTTGATACAACCTAGAATCATATTTGCTTTTTTGGCAACAGCATCACACTGTTGACTCATATTCAACTTGTGGTCCACTATGACCCCTAGATCCCTTTCTGCCATGCTCCTTCCTAGACAGTCGCTTCCCATCTTGTATGTATGGAACTGATTGTTCCTTCCTAAGTGGAGCACTTTGCATTTCTCTTTATTAAACCTCATCCTGTTTACCTCTGACCATTTCTCTACCTTGCTAAGGTCATTTTGAATTATGTCCCTATCCTCCAAAGAAGTCGCAACCCCACCCAGTTTGGTATCATCCGCAAACTTAATAAGCGTACTCTCTATCCCAATATCTACATCATTGATGAAGATATTGAACAGTACGGGTCCCAAAACAGACCCTTGCGGAACTCCACTTGTTATCCCTTTCCAGCAGGATTTAGAACCGTTAACAACAACTCTCTGACTACGGTTATCCAGCCAATTATGCACCCCCCTTATCGTGGCCCTATCTAAGTTATATTTGCCTAGTTTATCAATAAGAATATCATGCGAGACCGTATCAAATGCCTTACTAAAGTCTAGGTATATGACATCCACCACTTCTCCCTTATCCACAAGGCTCGTTATCTTATCAAAGAAAGCTATCAGATTAGTTTGGCATGACTTGTTCTTCACAAACCCATGCTGGCTATTCCCTATCACTTTATTACCTTCCAAGTGTTTGCATAGGATTTCCTTAATTACCTGCTCCATTATCTTCCCTGGGACAGACGTTAAACTGACCGGTCTGTAGTTTCCTGGGTTGTTCTTATGTTTCCTGGGTTGTTCTTATATCCAGAAGAGCTTTTTTATTATAAAGGAAAACCAGAAGAAAAGGGTGGAGGTATGAAAGATTAAAATACAGCGGTGGCTGGAGATGATCCCTCTTGCTAGAAAAGAGTTACCACAGGTAGCTTTTTCAGTTTATTTTCTTATTTTCCTTTTTTAAGTGGAATAACAAAACAATTCATAACCAGGTTCTTACTGACTTTCCACTTATTTAAATTCATAAATTATATATGCAGTCAGCTCACCCTTCATGCCAAAGCAGCTGCTCATAATCTAACATACTAACAACCTTGTACCTCGATACATACCTCAGTTCTTCTTCAAAAGCTGGATGAGACAAACTGACCTACGTTATGCCTTGTAAGCTGCACTTTAGGCAGTATTGTACCAAGAGTTAAATAGGAACATCCCAGAAGTGCTATCCATACTCTATTGTATCAATTCTGTTCTATCATGAAAGAGTTTAGCATCAATGGCTCAGCTGATTTTAACTGTGATAGTGCTTCATAGGGAAATAGGTGGTCATTTAGTCAGGCGCATCCCAAGTACATTAAAACCCGATCTTGCCATGCGTACAATCAAAGTTTTAGACCAAATACATTCATGTAAATTTAGTCAAATTACAGGATTGGATAGCTCATGGGAGTTGGTTATTTGATATAAACATTTTACTTAAATTATAGTTCTTGCTTAGCATTATCTGAAGGTTGTGCAAAGGATAGACATTCTATTTCACAAAGGATTTCAAAATGTGTCTTAGTTCAGAATTAGAGCAAAACTGAATTTCCGAAATTAATTTTCATTGTTTTTTATTTTGTTTGATAAAGATTAAAAATAAAACCAAAAGCAACTTCAAAACAAAACAAAAAAAATCAGTTTCACTCCAAAATTGTTAAAATGGGCTCTTTCCACATATTGGAATTTCCTCCCCACTTTTCTTTGGAAGTGAAATCTGGTATAATTGACCAGGCCCTGATTAAGAAAGGGGTGTTAGGGGCTGTAGTCATTGGCCCTTGGCTAAGGAGGGAGTGAGGAGGGGTAGGCTGCAAATGCTAAAGGTCCTGAATGCTGCATTCCGGGCCAGCTCTGGCTGGCTGGGGTGGGACAGGTGGCTCTGTGCACTGCCATTTCCTCCCCTGTTACCAAAGGCATGTGGCTGCAATGAGCATTACACCAGGAAGCGCTGTCCCAATGCTACCTTCTCCTGCAGTTCTACCCCCTGTACAGGGGGTAGAACTGCAGGAGAAGGTAGCATTGGGACAGCGCTTCCTGGTGTAATGCTCATTGCACAATTGCTCATTGCTCATGCACAATTCTTGGCCAATTGGAACTGCAGAGAGTAGTACCTGCAAGCAAATGTGGGCCATGTGGAGCTACCTGTTCTCCCACCTCTAAACAGGAGCTGCCCAGGTAAGCACCCCATATCCTAACCCTCTGCTCAGGTCCTATTCCGTACCCCAATTCCTCCTTGACTCTGCACTCCCAACCCCCTCCTGCACCTTATGTCCCTAACTCCCTCCCAGATTCCACATTCCATCCCCAACCCTGAGCCACCTCTTGTACCTCAACTCCTGCCCAGACCCCACACCACCCTCTCCTCCCACCCTGTGTCCCCTTTCACACACTAAATTCTCTACAGCCTGGAGCCCCCTGCAATGCAAACACATCCCCAACTCCACCACAGAGCAGCACCCCCAGTCAGAGCCCTCACCCCCTCCCACGTTGCACCCACCCTTCTGCCTGCTCCTGCACACTGATCCCCTAATTTTGGCCCTGCCCCAGAGTGGGGGGCACAAAATCTAGAGGCCCCAGGCCCCCAGAAAAGTTAATCTAGTCCTTCATGCAAACATGCTTACCTAAATCAAATCTGTTTGAACCCATACCTCTGCAATTTAGAGGTGCTGTTCAAATGAATCCATAAGCTCACTGATTTTGAGAAGCACTGTGCTGATTGGTTTTCAGTTTTCCAGTATAACTCTAATTTTAAAAATATGCATGATGGACTTCTTGTAGGAAAATCCTTTGTGCTAGGCATGCATGGTCTGTCCTTCATCCATTTATTTATGCCAAGGTGTCATGGATTTAAAATAACATATACCCGTGTTATAATTTCCTTCATTATAATGAACTTTTGGCTGTGATGTACAGAGACTCTGGATTCCAACTCCCATATTGTAAGAAAAGGAGGGTGTTGCACATGTGTGCACAATTTTTCTGTAGCCTGTTATAGAACAGTTGACACTCCAGAGCTATTCCGCTGGCAGGAGCTGATAGCCCAGAACCATTCTTTTGATTTTTTTTTTCACAACAGCATACCTCTTGCTATAAGTGGCTTGGTGGTATAAGGGTGTACTGCACATCTATTTTTTTAGGTATTTTTTTAGGTATTATTGTATGAAAAACCCATGTAAACTACTGGAGAAACCAAATGGAGAAAATTGTAGATTTGTAATAAGAGTGGGAAAATAATAGACTGTGATTGTTAAACTGGTGATGTCCTCTATAACTTTTTTATGCTTTTGTTTTCATCTGTTTGAAAATTGGAATAACACTTTCACCTCAAAAGACTTAAAATCATTAATGTTTGTAAAGTAATATTATTATACTGCATAAAGAATACATGGATTTTGCTCTATAGTGAAGGTTAAGATAAAATGTAACAATTTGTTCTTTTTAGTTCATCATTTGTGTTGTCCAAATTTGTCCCTCAAAGAATAACACAATTAGAAATTAGAACATAATTTCAAGTCTTATCTCTAAAAAAGGCTGTGTAATATTATTTTCATTTGTAAGATTTTTGTTCTTGTACTTTAAATATATTTCCGATGTATCAAATAGTTTACATGATTTTTATGTAAAAATAAGAATATGGTATTTTGGAAAGACCCTATCATCACATTTTTATGCAATTCTAATTGAATTTTACCTATCTTCTTTTCTCCTAATTTGCTGTCTTATACATGTTTCCCAGGATAGCCCGCTCGTCTTACAGTCTGACAGAAATGTAACAGTGAATGCAAGAAATCACATGGGACAGTTAACTGGACAACTGACTGTAGGTAAGTGTTCTCTAAAAAAGAAAATTATATGTATTATTTTAATCTTACCAATGATTTTTTATTCAATTACGAATATGAAAAAAATAGTAAATGGCTGTATAAAATATTCCTTGTAAAAGCTCAAAAAAGAAAGAAAATGCTTTTTAATTAATCACAATATTTTTTCCTTTTTTTCTCATGACAAACAAATATTTCAGCACACAGCTTAGCACAAAATTATTTTTTCTTACTGATTCCATTTTTTCCCAAAAAATATGTATCAATTTTCTTATAAAAAGACTTCCATATCTTTAATGAGCAGTGAATTAGGCTCCTAACTTTGATTCTGGATTCAGTCCTAAACATACTGGATTTCAGAATCTGAGTAAAAGAATATAAATTGTGTACATCTATTTGAAATTCTTTCCTATTTGGCAAGCATTGTTTCTATGTATTGTCAGTATATTATTGTATTGTAATATAATATGTAATATGGAACATTTTCCAGTCATTAATGAAAATTTACATGATATTACTTATTTTACAATTGAAGTATGAAATATGAGAGCCAAAAAAACCTATATTATACTTTATTTTAATTTTATTTGGAATGTTACCAACTTCCCTGTAGTACATTTTTCTCTTGATTTCCTTTTACTTTATTCTGCTTTCAATAAGTCTACTATTTTCTAACATTTACTGTTATCATGAGAATGTTTTACTTTAATTTAAAGTGTATGTGTGTATAATTTTTTTTTCTAATAAGGCTGCACATTTTAGTGCTAGCACATGACTTAAGGCTTTTATGGCTTACTTGAGTATATTGATGAAAAAGGTCAATACTGAGGTACCCTTTAAAATAATTAAATGTGTTAGAGAATATATTAGAAAGAAAGTAAATGGCTACTGACCATAAAAAAAAAAGTGTGTTGTTTTCCCTGGAGGATTGAAAGTGTGTGTGTGTGTGTGTGTGTGAGTGTGAGAGAGAGAGAGAGAGAGAGAGAGAGAGAGGGATACAATTTAAAGAGGGATGTGTGCCTTTTCTTTGTTTTTATTAAAAGTTCTATGACTTTCTGATATTTTAGCCCTGAAAAGCTCTTGATCTTGTCTACCAAAATCTTGCTACAGGGAGGGAAACAGAAAACAAAATCTCCTACCTCCTAAGAGTAATTGCTATATAATTTTAGTGTTCCCAATCTCAACAGATTGTTCTACTCTACAGGATGCTATAGTAAAATGTTTCTAAGGAAAGTAGTGTTTATCATAAAATACTTCTGTCATCTTGCATAGAGAGTAAACCTTTTGGCTGTGTCTAGACTGGCAACTTGCCAGCTGTCTACACTGGCCACTTGAATTTCTGCAAGAACACTGACGATCTCGTGGAAGAAATCAGTGCTTCTTGCAGAAATACTATGCTGCTCCCATTCGGGCAAAAGTCCTTTTGCGCAAAAGGGTTAGTGTAGACAGCTCAGATTTGTTTTGCACAAAAGTGCATCTAGATTAGCCCCGGATGCTTTTCCGCAAAAAGAGCTTTTGCGGAAAAGCGTCCGTGCCAATATAGATGCTCTTTTCCGCAAATGTTTTTATCGGAAAACTTTTCCATTAAAAACATTTGCGGAAAATCGTGCCAGTCTAGACATAGCCTTTTGGTAAAAGAATCTTGTATTGTCTGGAGAAATAATATTAAAAAAAAAATTTAAGTATAAAGAACTCTTCTTTCTCATGTTATGAGACCCAAGATGTATTCAAGCTGGAAAAGCAACATACTTTATATCCTTCAGGAAAAAGATATATCCAAAAGAATATTATCATATTGTCTATAAATTCAAGAAGAAATAACAGAAAATATTAAGTAATCTCAAACTATTCAGAGTGTTCTATTTATGGCTTTCTATAAGTTTTTACTAGAGATTGGGAATTTTTCAACAAAATATTTTCTTTGTGGAACATGATGTTTGGTTAAAACCAAAAATTTTTGCAGAAACATTATCTGTTTCAACAAAAGTTTTGTCAGGAGATTATCTGAGATCCAGAAAGGAATTTAGATGGAGAAAAATCAAGACCAACCAAATGTGGAAGATCAGAATCTTGTCCTTAATTTGCATGATTCAGAGCAGCTGAGGTTAGCCCTAACCATCAAGCTCTTGAGTTGGTCATTGTTTCTCAGTGTCTCCTTTTGGAATTATTCACTTTTTATAACTATATTCACTGGGCCAAAGAGAAACTGTCATTTTTTATATCAGTACAGGACAAAAGAAAGTTTTTCATTATATTGAATTTCTGGCCAGCTTTAGCTTTTACAAATTTGTATTCCTCAACTTTATTGCTTAAGGCTACAATTTAATTATGAGTATATTTAGTAAAAGTGATGGACAGGTCACAGGCAATAAACAAAAAATCATAGTAGGTGATCTGTCTATCACTTTTACTAAAAATAATGCTGACTAAATCTTGTTGGGAAGGTGCATTGGGCAGTCATTGCGGAGGCAAGGTGGGGGGTGGGGAGGCAGGCAGTGCCATTGCTGAGAAGGGCAGGGCCAGCAACACCAGTAGCCAGGAGCTACCATGTAGTGGCTGCTCCAGCTGCTGTAGGACTGCTGATCAGGCAGTCCCTGTGGCCAGTCACACTGCTTGGGCAGTCCTCAAGTCCTCTACCTTCAGATGCCCAAGCAGCAGCTGGTGCAGCTGGCTTCAGAGCTGCTTCAGAAGCAGGCAATGTGGCTGTCCCTGATGCCACTTGAGCAGTCATTACTGGAGCCAGTTGCTTAGGCAGTGTTGTGATCAACTATTCTGGCTGCCACAGGAGTCTCCGAGGTCTCAGAAAGTCATGGAATCAATGACTTCTGCAACCTCTGTGACAGCACGGACCCCTACTTATGAAAGGCAACAGCTGCCTCTTCTCCACTTCACTGAAAGCAAAGCATACATAACCTTTTCAGTTAGGAGTTTTGCATTTCTAAAAAAACTTCTAAGATATAGGAGGTTAAACAATAGCCAATGCGCAGTCATGTCAGTTTCTTCTCTCCACTAAAAAACACCTCTGAATATATCCTAACAATTTAAAATTAGAAAGGGCATTTTTATCTTTTTTTTTTAGATGAAAGGCACTATCAAATATCTTCATTTAATCCTGATTTGGCAAGTGATAAAATATATAAGACATTGTATTAGATTATATGTATGTGAAATAAATTAGTTTTGAGGATGTAGTTAGTTACAGCACACTCAATGACAGGGTGTTCTGTTAAAAAATTCTAGAAGCGGGCTTCTATAACTTCTTGGCATCCTCATCTTAACCACATCCTTTTTGAAATATTTTTTTGTAAAACTTCAGCATGTTTGTCTGCCAAAGATATTTCCAATAGTTTTCTACATTCAGTTTTCACTGTTTTTTCCATTTTAGTTCCTTCAAGAAAAGAAGTTAAACATTTATTGGGATACAGAGCAACCATTAATAATTTATCTCCTTCCTTAGGCAATTCTTCCCAAAGAAATATTTGAACTAGCCATTTGGTAGCCATTTTCAAGTTCGTGACTTGAAAAATAAATTTGTGGATTTTTTTAATAGCACAAAATAATAATAGATAATAATAAACTACCAGTGATTACCCACTGCATTAAACAACAACGCCACAACATGTAGACAAAAAATGAAGTGTGGGGTTGTCAGAAAGGAGAAAGTATAGTAATAAGTAATGTTTCCATTTATTAGCCTTACTTCAAAATAGCATTTCCCAATACTGCAAGAAATGGACATGTAATGGAAATAGTTTAATGTACAATTAGATAAGAAATTTAAGTATTCTACTGTTCATGAACAGCAATAGGAGAACAAATATGGAATTTTCTCTATTCTGAGTCTGCCATGGCCTTGACTCTCTCAAATCTTTAGCCTTCTACAGAACTCTAAAGCAATAAATATTTAATGGAGTTTTGAATTTGTGTCATGAGTAACTTTACTTTTCTCGGTGTGATTTTTTTTTTCATTTTATAAATGATAACTGCTATTCTCGGTATGCACCAAAAATAGATGGTAACCTGGAAAACTCAAGTATGGAACAGAAAAGTTTAGATCAAGAAATGTTGCTGCTATAATGTACATTCTTCATGGTTTCTACTTCATACATTCAAGAGTTTAATTGTTAGTTTCCATGTTAAATTTGGCTTTGATGACTTGCTACTTTTTGCCTTAAGCTTGTTGCTTCAGGCTTGTAGAAATTACACTTGTTGTTTGGCAGAATTATTCAGAGCACAGGTGATAAAACTAGGGATTCTGGGGGTACCTACCGCATCCCTTGGCTTAAAGTGGTTTTCATCAGATCCCGGGTTTCTGATATGCTTCATTGGCTCTTAGCATCCCCACTGTATGAATCAGTCTAGCACCATTCAGTCAGAGCTCTACCATGCTGATTATTCTAAACTAGCCAATTAGCCCACCATAAGACAGAATTTTCCGGTCTCTCCTCCATGTAGGTCTTCTCTCCTGAGCCTCCAGTCTCTCTCTCTCTTTTTCTCTCTTTCTCTTTCTCTCCCCCCCCTCCTGCCTCTCACTCTCTCTTCACTCTCCTCTGTCTCCATCAGAGATGCATGGTCATCCAGGCCCCACCCCCTGGGCGTGTATGTCACCACCCCGCCCCCCTTTGCCTCTCGCCGTGGCACTTGGCTGACCTCTGTGCTGCTCCGCTGGGCAGCAGCACAGGAGCAAGCAGCTGTTTGGGACCCATGCTCCCCATGCAGCACCCCCGTGCTTGCTTCCGCGCGTCGGCCCAGCTGAGCAGCGCAGAAGTCAGCCGAGAGCCATGGCAGGAGGAAAACAGCATCACCCATAGGGAACAGCCAGCGTTTCAGTATTACAGAGTTACAAACATTGGGCTACTATGTATATGATTACCATGGAAAATAAGTGTGCAAAGGTAACCTGACTTGCGAGATATCAGTTTTAATTACTTTGTCCTTGACAATGTCTATAGATTTGAGCAGATGGATTACTAAAGCTTTCTGCTTCAGTTTATACTGTTAAA